GTGTGTGTGTGTGTGGGTGGGTGGGTGTGTAAGTGTTAGTCGTGTGGGGATGCCCCCTTACGGGGGCGTACGTGTCTTTTGGTGTATTTGTCTGTCTGGTATATTGTTTGTCGGGGGTCGCAATTTGAAAGAAATGTATTTTAAAGTAATGCAAATAACTGATAAATAAGTAAAAACTTACCTGGGCATAACCCCTGGACAGGTGCCTGCAACAAAGATGCCGACGGCCTCTGTGCTTAGCCGGGGATTAGGTCGGTGATTAAAAGGAAAGAAAGGGATTCTTTCCAGGTAGCCTTAATAAAGGCAGGTAGATTTTGCTCGTTGCAATCACTTCACCTCACAAACAAACACGTCCGCTCAGCTCGGCTGTTCGCACTGAACTGCTCAATAGTGGTAGGTCTATTATATATTTTGTGGTAGTAGGCAAGGAGTGAGAAAGGATATAAATATCCTTGGGTGTTGGGTGCATGGCAACTATAGTTGGGTGGTAGGTGCTGTTTATTGATATTTGTTTATTTTCATTTGCAATGTTGCCAATATGAAGAAAATTCTTTAACTGGCTTTTGACATTTGTGGTATTTTCACATCACAATTCTCGTCTTTATTGATATTTTTTTCGAGTAAAAGTATTTCCTTTAATGGAAATTTCCCTGTAAGATTTTGCAAAGAAAAAGTTCTGGTCTCAGCAACAATGGTAAGAAAAGTCGTATGTATTAGGTATAAGTTAATCGCACAAAATTATATGATTTCAGTCCGTCGCTCAGTTTTTGGAGGGCTTACCTTCCTACAATGAGAATAATTTTACAAAATTTCATGTGGACACAAACAGTAGATCGCCTTTGAAAAGGCCATCAGTATATATCCCCACAAAAGATTATCCTTCTGAGCAGAGTAAGTTTCAAGTAGGTAAATGTAGGTAGGAAAACATTTTTATTATTCTTTTTCAGTTATCGTAACAGAGAAGACTAGTATACTACTAAAATATATGCAGCAACATTGGGATAAAAAGGTAAATGTAAGTGTTGTATTTTTATTTCACTAAGTTGTCAATTCCAGTGACTTGACAGTGTTAATTAAATATTTGTTTCATAGTTAAATTTTTATTTTAGAGTTCAGTTAAGAAACGTGACGTTCCTCCTCAATCAGAGGAGCCTGCGAGGAAAAGGCCAAGGACAGAATGCAGTAGGGATAATTCACGTGACAATGTAAGGACCCTGAATGACTTTTGAGTTTATAATCGGGCAACCCCATCTGAGAAAAATCTCTTCCATGTGCACATTTTTTTTACTCGTCTTTTTTTATATGCCGCTATTTGTATTTAATTATATTTAAGATTTGTTATTTGTAATTCCTTTTCAATTTTAAGTTATTGCTGGACTTTTAACCGTCTCATGAAATCGGTGTACCCTAAAATTGAGGTTCATAAACCCATGTAGTAGGAGTATTCCCACGTTTTGTAAGTTTTTGGTTGTAGGTCAATTTAAATTTTCAGTTTGTATAAATTCAAAATATATGAATATATATGTAATCCATACATTACTCTTAGTGTGCATGTATTTTTCCATAAGAGTATTATTTGTTTTGTATTTAAATAAAGGAATAAACGTGTTAATGTAATTCTTGACTTTTGTGATTGAACAATTTTTTTTTTTTTTTTGGAAAACAAATAGCATCCAGTTTTACCAAATTTACTTTCTCTTGGGTAAATCTATTGATTTCACGTTTGAACTACTTTTTATTCAAAATGTGAATTATAAATTATGGTAAAATTTTACAAGGGAAACAAAATGAAAATTTTGAAATTATAAATGTGTTTATATCTACTTTTTTTTAAATAAATCTTTATTTTCATTCTTGAAAAAAAAATTTTCCGAATTTAATCCTCTACAATTTCGCAAATGTTTAAAATGTCATTCTGTAACACCCTGTATGATCAAAGATTTATCCGATTTTCGATTTTTTTGATTGTCAGTAAAAGTTGTCTTTAGAAACAGTTTATCTCCTTAATGACTATGATTAATTAAATGATATTAACAAACTCAATGAAATAATTATTATCAGATTTTATTTTTAAGTAAAAGTGGATTTCTTACATTTTATTCTCATTTAATACACCAACTACAGCTAATATTTATATGTACAATTTTTTCTCAAGCCTACGTTATTACGGAAAAAGCTTTTCCGTCCCACTTGGGAGCAACAAATGTAATGAAAAAGGTTTCTCTTCATAAACATGGACAAAATTTGTAATTTTCTTCATCCAACTCAAGATAAATGCTACAAATAGTAGAGCTACTTATGGTGGCCTTAAATTCATCACTCTATTTACAAAACCGAAATACTGCGTCTTCCTTATATCCGTAACCTTAGTAGCTAGGTATTCGATGGGGTTCCTGGAGACCCAACAACGTCTATAATTTCGCCTGTTCCCACTTTGGTATCAGTTTCGTTATTCGACAAAAGCTGGGGTGGTATGACTAAAGTCTGAAATCAGATAAATATTAAATGAAAAGAAGTAAGTAATCCAACAATGGTTACTTTTCCAGGATTTAGGGCTTCATATTGATGTCTCAGAGACTGCAATTCGTATTCACAGGTACCCAGCGCAGTCTTAAGTTCCATCAGTAGTACCATGTCGCTTCTTAACTCGTTAAAGTGCTGGCAGATGTCTTCCGTTGGTGTTGGGTTCAGTTCTATAAAGAGTTAATAAATCTAAATTGTACTGTAAAACTATAATCATTGAAATTAATAAATGTTATGAACCAATACTTCCGATAGATATTTGCTGTTAGAAATATATTTTTTGAATATATATATTTCATATTTTATAATAACACCCAGTATAACTAGATGCTCAAACAAAAATGCTAATATATATTCTGAAAAATCTTTAAATTTCCCTAAAAATGATCCCTGATCCATATAGTCCACAGTACAAGCCCTCTCCCCACCCCCCCACCCCGGAAAGTTGATTTCCACATACATTATGACTCGTGAGGGTGTTTGACAAGTCTACCACACTTTTTCTTTGCGACTTTTCTGGATTTCTCCGCTTTTCAACTCGGAAAAGTTCAAAAACATGTCAATTTCCCGGGGTCCTGAAAAGTCAAGACCATACCTTTTTTTTTAGCTTAAGTTACTGGAAATTTTATTGCAAATGCCGACTTAAATTTGTCCGACAGACATTCTTCCGACATTGACGTGTCTACCGGCCGAAACATGCCAAAATGATAGGGTATTGAAAATCAATTACTACATAGGTAATTTTTAGTATAATTAATTAAGTCAAAAAGTATTGTTGTCCAACAAATTTCAAGCCGCGTTTTTTCAGTCCGACAGCTGGAAATCGGAATTTTCACGGGGTATGATAAATTGATTACCACATAATCTATATACCATATATCTAATTTAAATTTTTTCCACTTTTAATTTTACTGTACAAAATAGTGATATGTGTCCGACGATTTAATGTCCGCAAATTATTAAAAAATCAATAAATCAATAATCGTGATGAAATTTAATTTTTTCACTCCAAAAATTTATATTTATAAATGGTTATTATTATTATGTAAATTATTATTTGTTTCAAATAAATAATTATAATGTTGCTTATTTTATGTTTAAAAATTTAAAAGTTATAAACAAATTAAGTTATTTTTGAGACGATTAATAAATACAAAATTCAACGTATTCAAACTATTTTCTCCTATAATACTTTAAAAGTACCTGCCTCATGTTACTTTTACGAGTAGTAGCAACTATAACAGGTTTAGTAGTAAACCAGTAGTAGTAAGCCAGAAAAATTTTTTGTTTTTTTTTTTAAATCAAACATTTTTTTGTCTATCTGATCACAGTTCACTTTGGTTTGGATTTAGTTGGATCAATTGGATCGAAAAGTTTTATTCTAACCTCAATATTTTTATAGTTATAGTTGCATTTTAAATATTGTTTATTTTTATATGAGGTATGTGTTTTTATATTTTAATATAGTTTTTTCCATACCAATTACAAGTTTACAAATTTGTATAAGAATATAAATTAATCTAAAAAAAAATATTTTTTCCATTTTCTTACCTAGTCCCATTTCTTGGAGTATTTGCTCCACACCCTTCGACTTCTTTTGGCCTACATTAGCTGGCAGCTTCATCCTTTGAGACCTCAACGATACACCGCTATTCTTATAGTCTGGAAATTTGATTCCTGCGCTCTCTAGAGCCTGTAAAATGTGCTGCTCAAAGAAAAGCAAATTTCTTAATATACTACCTCAAAAACTCTGTCAAAGAACACACTCACAATAATTTTTCTATGATTTCTTGATGTATTACAAAGTTTTGGTCAAAAGCTAGTATGGCAACGACAGTTATTTTGCTAAGGTCTTGGTACCAAAATAAAAATAAAAATCCTTACATTTGTGTCTATTCTGGAAGGTCTTGTAGGATTCGTTATTTTCTTCTTGGGCAGCTTTTTGTCAGTTTTCCTTGGAGTCTCATTTTGATTATCGGCTTGACTAATCAGTTTCTGTAAATCTTGAGTTTTGCGTTCCCTCTCCTTTTTACGGGCCTCTATTTTCTTCAATTCGCCAAGCAGGAATTGTTCCTCCTCGATCTAAAACAAATATTTTAAGGCGCTGAAGAAATTTATACACTGTATTAGCATACCTGTTCTGGTTTTCTTTCGTACAATTTTTTTAGCTGTTCTTTTCGTCTACGTTCATGATCTGCATCGTAGGTATAAATTTTTTTTTCACCATTTAACTATAAATCAATGACTTTAGTAGTGCTGGGAATCAACTCTTATTGCTTACCTTAGCGAGAATACCACATATTTTGTAGTACCGCTCTTTTAAGTCCTCTACAGATCGTTTAGAAAATTTTTCAGAATCATATCTGTCAGACATTATGATAAATCTTAAATCAAATCTATGGGCAAGGTCCATAAGATGGTCTGTTTCTTCTTTCGTCCAACCCTCGCATACCAGATGTTGTTGATATTCTACATCTGTATATGTTGGTAAGTCGACTTTCTGAAAAAACATTAATTAAAAAACATCAAAAAGAGAAAAAATCTACATACCTTATTAAACTTGGCAAATGGGTATTCTTTTGGTTCATCAGATGGCCTCCTCCAGTGATGAAATGTGGCATTATCGGTTCGTGCTGGATTTGTGAATGCCATCCATTTCCATTTTCTTGGTTTCCGCATTCCCAATTTAATTTTCGTCTGTTTATATCCGTTGTTACCAACTGAAGTGGTGATATCATAAAAAGAATGAGAAACACTGAAGTTATGGAATACTTACTTGTATCTGATGGGAATAGAGGAGGCGCATCTTTGTTGTCATTGTATAATAAAGCAAAAACTTCTCTGTGCATTCCTTCTGGACGTTTTGGAACCTTCGGAGCTGTGGAGGCTCGTTTTTTCGATTTATCAGCCCCTAAGATAGTTTCTCTTGTTATTTCTGGAGTTGGAGGCCTCTCCAGTTCCATAATATCTCTTACGTCTGCCATTTTCTGTAACAAACGATTTTAAAACATTAGCAAATATCGTACAATGTTAACAAATATAACTAGCAACAACTAACAAAAACTCACTTCGATAATAAAGTATTGTAATACAAATATTTATGAGTTATTTTAGAATTTTAGAAATGTAAATAAAACTTTACGGACACCTCAAATGTTAATTACTTTACGGACACCTCAAATGTTAATTGTTAAGCTTTTTGACATTTGTCAATTGACAATTGAAATTAATTCTGATCTGACATTCGACATTCTCTACCATTAACCATAGATTCAAGATATTCCTCTAGTATTTAATCATAGACCATAGCATATTCAACATAGACAGATTTTAATTTCAATTATTTTGGCGCCATAAACCTAGAAAAAATCTAAACAGAGTCATCTGCGTATACCGGCGACTGCAGGATGACCAATGAAGCTAAAAAGATCCAAAATCCTTGAACTCGGTTTTCCTGTTGATATACATGTTACATGTTATATGCTCCAGTAATTACAAACTATAGCCAGCTGCTTTCCAATTGCCAAAACGTACTTTAGGAGATTGACTTTTTGCGTTTCAATATAAGCGGAAACATTTTTACTCCAAAAGTGTTTTTGTTTGTTTTCCCTGTACATTCACGCACCATCTTTAACAGGAGTTTTATACTTTTAAACTGTTTCCACACATTTTAATTGTGAAGTTTTTGAATGTTTCACAAAGAAGACTATTTACTGCCATATGGATTATGTCATTGCTTTAATTTAATTATTTATGCCGTTGTGCTTTACTAATTGAAATACATATTTGGGTCTAGCTTTTGACTCACAACAGATAATTGAAAAAACATTTATGTGACTCTCTCGAAGGTTGTTGCTCCAGTTGTTTAAGTTTGGGGTATTTAATATTAGAACAGTAGAAAAACACTTTAGGAGCAGTTCCAAGACAATTGGAAGAGCAGCTTATGCGGTCTAGATTTTTTTGTAGATTTGCGACTGGCGCTTTGCCAGTTTGCCAGTATTGCTCTTTCGATCAGTACGGAGTTCAAGTAGAAACTTTGGAGCAAGTCTCAGAGCGCTCTCACACTAATACGCGTAAACGCCACTTGTGTGGTGTTTTCAGTGATGATTGGTCAATTTTCTTAAATCAACGTAGTCAAGGTCACTACGCTGAAAGTTGCTTTAACTTTAACTTTTTCGCGTAATCGTAAAAAAATAAGCGTTATTTATGTCTTATGTCATCAGTTAGATCAGTAATACCTACATCATTTTAATTTTGTGTAGCGGGTGTTTTATTATCTGGAAATTTTGATAAACGTGAAAATTTGGAATGGAGGAGGTGAGTTATAGGTATTATAAATAATCCTTTTTCCATTTATTTTTCTAGAATTATAGTGTGGCTACTGTGGGGTTATTAAATAACTATTGTCAAAATTACTGGGACCACATTAAAAAATACTTCACTGCTTTCAATTACAATACAACATAACCTGAAAACTTCTAATTATTTCGATTTTCGATTACGCGCGAATAGTGTGGGAGGTGACAAGTTTTCAAATTTGGCGTTTACGTCAAACGCCGCGTTTCGGCGCACTAGTGTGAAAGCGCTCTGATATTAGTCACGTAATTTCGATAATTGGCAACGTCGGCGTCGTACAGATCGCAGCTGTGTTGTGCGAGAGAGAGATGGAAACATATTTACGGGGCACAAGGTTAGGTTAGTTACCGTTAAATATAGTGGATGCATTCCAATCGTTTGGTAAGTTTTTAATTTTAAAATATTTTGCATTTTTATTTTCCTAGTTCTTTTAAACAAAAAAGGCTTTAGTTCAAAATTTTGTAGAATGTCAGGGCGCGAGCAAACTTTCTTCAATGTGCGACGGTGCCGCATTTCTTACGAAAAACTTAAAAGTTCGAATATTAATAGCTTCAATCCTAGCTGGTCAATCCTTTCCAAATTGTTATATAGAAAGTATTTCTACACAAATTAATCTTGCTGCTTAAAATTTGAGCAGTTTCTCAAATGAGGTTATTTAGCTACAGCTACTGCAACAGCAACATTTTCATCGTAACATTTTTCGAGGCGGCGGCGGCGCCATAAAATCTATACATAGTCAACTTTGATTTGATAAAGACATCTATCAGATTTGATTGGGAGATTATAGTGAAATATCAAATGCCAGGAGCGAACCATATTTTGTGAAAGTTATAATTTATTGAAATAAATGAATTATTCAAACAAATACAATACAATAAAATGGATATGTTTCATAACTAAACTCAGTATTCTACATAAATATGGCATAAGTTTAAAATTATGAAAAAATCCGCATTAACAGTAACCATTACAAATTAATACGTTTAAATCTACTTTACTCACTCAAATTGCTTTGAAAATTGCTAAGTCGCTTTCTGATATAACCTCCGCCTCCTCCAAAGAAGGAGGCGCTTCGACGGCTCATATCATTTGCTATGAATTTTTAAGACACAGCGTGAATGTGTGAAAAATACCATACTAATCGAGAAGTGCACAAGAAAATTATAAATCGTGTCAATGTTATATAAGTTTCACAGCAAAACTAGGCGTTAGCACTCGCATTCTGCTTAAGCTTTTGCTCAAACAAAACCTCTTAAATCTAATTTTGATTATTAACCCCTAAGTAAATTTACATATATCGACGACTTAAAGAAAAAATATGCTCGAGTAAAAAATAAAATTCGTAAAAATTCAACAAAATAATAAACCTATTAAACTTCTTCAACCATCGGCACATTTTCTATTTAAATCCGTCATCAATTTTCTTTGGGCAAAAAATATTTACAGAGTTCCTCGAAATCAATTCTAGAGTACAAATATATTGCTTTTTAGTGTACAGTGTTTGATAATCCTAAAGGCAATAGGGTAAGTCACATTTTTATATTTTAAGGCAAAAAGTACGTTTAGACTCGGTGTGTGGCAATCTCCGGTACGATTTCTAAAATCGCGTTCGAAAATTACCAGAAATAAATTACTTTTTGGTATACCTAGACCGTATCGTTTTTTGTTATATACAAAGAAATATATTAAATAATAATTTAAGATTAAGTTTAGGTAATAAAATTAATATAATACAACTGTAACTAGGCTATACTCATTTCCTTTTTTTTTATACAAGTAGCATTTGATGCTATATTCGTTGGAATCAACCTGACTAGACTGAAATATGTTACAAACTAAACCTACCACTTAAAAATGTATAAAATATACAATATTCCTTGAATTAATTTTAAAAACAATTTGAGATTTAACAGGAAAAATAAAAAATAAATATTACGACTATTCTTTAACCCCATTCTTAACCCCTAAGAGCTTCGCAGCGTCATCTGCGGAAGCAGTTAAAACCTTATCTATAATGGACCTATCTCTTAATCCTAAGAGGTTGCTTATTAGGTCTCCCCCTTCGGTACCATCCGACTCCTCCGACTTTTCGCTCTTGTGCGCCTCTTTGGGATGCTTCTCGAATCCAGGAGGAACATTGTTTCCGTCTTCGTCGCTGTTGTTGTTGTCGTTTTCGAAGTTCACATTGTGCTTTTTCCGGTGTCTCAGCATGCTGTGCTTCAGCGTGAACCTCCGTCGGCAGATGTCGCAGCTGAATGGCCTTTCCCCGGTATGGGTGCGCATGTGTCGTCGCAAGTCCTCCGCGGACCAAAACCTGCGCATGCAGAACGCGCAGATCACTTTTCTGTTGGAGTAGTCGGGAAATTTACCGCGTATTTCACTTTCTTCGTCGTCCTGGTGGGTGGCGTCGTCGGGAGTGGTGGCGTTGGTGTCCAGGGCATTCTTGGACATCAGCAAGTCGTACTCGGAGGCGTGTCTATCTCTGATGTGGTCGAGGGCGTCTTGGCGCTCGGAGAAAGAGCCCTCGCACAGGTGGCATTTGAACGGCAGGTCAGAGTTTTGTACGGCTTGGGATAAATCCACGTTTAACTTGCTGTACGCTAATTGGTTCTCCCAATCGCTTTTCACCTCAGTGGTAGGAATTTTCTCGTCTTCGGAACTGCCAGCCTCGTATCCCTGAGCTTTGATGTCGTCTCCTTGGGCGTTGGTTGAATGCTTGCAGCTGATGTGCTTTTTTAGGTTCGAGTAAGTTGAGAATGTGCTGCTGGGGCAGCTGGAGCACTTGAAAGGTCGCTCGGGGACGTTTCTCATCAGATAATTGGCGTTGTTGTTGTTGCCGGCGTCGTTGGTTATGGTGGTTGCAGTGTTGCCGTGTTTGCGTAACAAGTGACGGTCGCAGTTGGATTTGGTGGTGAAGAGGAGGGGACAGTGGCTGCACTTGAACGGTTTCTGGCCGGTGTGGGTCAGGATGTGTCTTCGTAAGGAAGAGGTCCACGGGAATTTGCGGCTGCAGTAGGGACAGCTGACGCGGTTCGGTGCCAGGGAATAGGCAGATTTTTTCTTCACCGGTTGAGTCGTCTCGGATTCTGATCTGTAACGGAATATTTAGAATTCATTATTTAGAAAACATTTTTTACTGCTTCGTGTTTTATACAGAGGTTATCCCTTAATTTTGACTTCCAATCTTTTACAGTGTGTTCCGTGGTCAAAACAACACAAACAACTTAAATTCACTTCCGACTCTATTATTTTAATTTGGTAATGTAACAATTACAAAGTCAATATCGTTATTTAATAAATTTAAACAAAAACAGATCTTGTTTTTCCAATTACTACACACGACTTTATTTGAACTAATTGTGTTAATTTTGACCAAGAAACATATTGCAGAAGTTCGGACACTCTGTATGGTGTATTTTAGCCACTTGTAAACGCTTACCTGTTTTCGTCCGTACCAGAAACATTTCCCTCACTGGTGCTGCCGCTCGCCACAAGTCCTTCCTCATCTTCCTCGCTCGCACCGCCAACTTCGGCTTCCTCACCTTCTCGTTTAAAGAACTCTTTGAATTGCTGTTGAGAAGCATTGTCCAGAAGTCGTGAGACGGGCACTAGGTCCTGATTCTCCTCGTTCCTAACGTTTTTGACTTCGGATTTAAATTGTTGCAGTTTCCCCTCCAAGATCCGACTCCTGTCGTACTCGTTTCTTTGGTTGGTTTCTTCAGTCTTTGGTTCGGGTTTCTCTTCGTTCTCGTCTATGACCAGTTCACAGTCCTCATCCTCGTCCTTTTTTTCATCCTGATTAACGTTTTGACTCGCTCTCAGTTGCTGCTCTAAAATGGCTAGTTTAATCTTTTCATTTAGTAATTCTTTGGTATCGTTGTACTCGTGCGACCTCGTTGCTTCATAGTTTGGAATGCTGAGGTCGCAATAGCTCGGCTTCATGGGCAGGGACTGGGCCTTACGGCCTGGATTTCCGACGCTGCCTCTTTGGCGCTGAGACCAAAATTGGGGATGCTGCTGTTTAATGTGCCGTTCCATGTTCGATCTCAGTGTGAATCTAGCCGAACAGTGTTCGCAGGCGAAGGGTCGTTCCGTCCTGTATCTCCTCTGCTTCTGTTTCGGCATCAGCACTCCGTTCTTTATCACCATCTTTACAGAATTAGGGGACGGCATCAAGTCTTTTATTTGCGGAATAGGACTTTGCATTTTAGATGTATTATCAACAAATTTCGTATCCACGTCCAAACTTAGCGGTTTCATGTCCTCGGGTTTTTTCGGTGTGGACAAATGTTTGATTTCCGGCTTGGGTTCTATCTTAAATCCGTTGTAGTTAGACGTAGGGCTTCGCAGCGATTGCTGCTGTAGGTTTTGTAGATTCTGCAGGTTTTTTAAATCCTCTGCTATCATGGACCCACCGCATAACTGAAACCTCTGCATGCGTTCTTTAAGATCTTGTGAATTTTGGGGCAACGTAGGAGCTAAAGCGGGAAAGAGCAAAGGGTTCAAAGGAAAGCCAGTCCAGTTGGACAAAGCTGGGAAGCCGCTACGGTAAAAGTGGGCTAGCTGAGTTGCGTATAAGGCTGCCTGGTCTATTTTTGGAGGTGTCTTAAGGAGTTGCTGAGCGAACAACTCTCCCATATTAGGTGGTAATTGCGTTACAGGACTTGGTGGTGGCGGCGTTTTCTTGGTTAAATCTTGAGGTAATTCCTCTCGGTGGCGCTTGCTATCCTCGTCGCATTTCTTTTTGCTCAAATCCAAAACTAGGTCCATGGGTTGCTCTTCTTCCTCGACGTACTCCTCTTCGGACTCGTCGTAGACGTTTTCTTTTAGAGCCTCTAAGCTTTTGACTTGAATTTTTTGTTGAGTGTAACCAAAATTAGGCTGTAACAAAGGTACTACTCCGTTATGTAACATCTTATGTTCCTTTAACGATCTCAGATTTTCATTTCGAATGATGTCGTTAATATTCGGGAAAATCTTTTGTGGCTTCAATACGGGCAACTCTTGTACCAAGGGTGTTACATTGGGCTTAAGCAGGTTCATGTCCGTCTTTATATCGGACATGTGGCTCCGTAAGGCGTCAGAAATCTTTGGTGTCGAGCATATCATTTTGTCCGGAGGTAAGTCGTTCGCTTCAGAAGAAGACGGTATATTTAATTTCTTTGGTTCTTCCTTTGCCGCCAATTTGTTGAGGTCATCGTTGGTAGGATCTTCCGAGGGATGGTAGATTATAGACTTTTTCACTTCTTCTCTCGTGGTCTTGGCGTGCCTATTCCTCAGATGTCTTTCGCAGTTAGCTTTGGTGGTAAAGGCGTAGTTGCACAATGAGCATTCGTAAGGTCGGTCTCCGTTGTGAGTTCGCATGTGTCTGATCAAGGCCGCTTTATCGATGGACGAATGAGGGCACATGTTACAGTGGTACGTCCCGTTGGTATTCCCGTTGAGGTGGGCTCTATTGTGCCCTTTCAGAGCTCGCAAATTGGGGAACACCGCGGTGCACAACCTGCAAGGAAATTCTCCCCGTAACTTCATTTTTCTAAACTCCACGGCGAACAGATCCTGGGACTCCTCCTCTTGTTCGTTTTTCTGAAACTCGGGAGAGTGCTCCATTTGTGACTTTGAAGTCGGTAACCTCAATTCACCCTGTTTAGCCTGGAGTTGCTGCAGGTTAATGTTGGATAGGATAGACTGGATATCTGCTAAGTCTTTGGTATTGTCCATCGCTTTCGCTAGGTGCTCCTGCAGCTTATTCGGAGTTTTGTTTTGTTGAAGAGGTAGAACTTGTTTCTCAGGAGATGTGTTTAGCAAGTTGAGCCTGGAAAAGAATTCCATACGTCTAATTTCGGGTTGGGAAATGGTGCTGAGGTCCAAGCCGTTGGCGTGTTCTACGGGAATGCAGTTTTTCTCGTGGATCTCTAGAGAGTTGTTGCAAGGGAATGCCCTGGTGCATTTCCTGCATTGAAACTTCAACCCTCCAGACACCTTATGAAGGTTCAACTCACATTCCCTTCGAGCGATGTGGGGAAACTTTTCGCTTGAAAAGTCGACGAAGGTGAGGTCCTTGAAACCGACCACGGAGTGTCGGGAAACGATATTTTCATGGTTCGTAGCTTTGTGCGCCGTCAGCTGCTTGTTGTTGAGGAAAACATTATTGCATTGGTTGCACTTGGCGGGGTAATCGGGGTGATTGTCTTCTAAGTGGGCTTCCAGGTTGGACAAGGTGTTAAAGTCCGATCTTTCGCATACGGGACACCTGTACGACTGCGATGTTTCGCTGTCGCTGCAGTTGTCTCGTAGCCTTTTGCTGCTACCGTCCGGACTGTCGATTTTCCTTTTATTGCTGTTCACTTTTTCCACCTTATTGTTATTGAACTCGGTACTCTTAGAACTGTTACTGTCCACGCTTCCGTCGGACTCATAGTTGTTATCGGACTTATGGGAATGCGTCCTCATGTGTCTGTGCATGTTGCCGTTGGTGGTAAAAGTGTCCCCGCAGTATTTGCAGTGGAAGGGACGCTCGCCGCTGTGCACTAGGACGTGGCGGTCCAGACTGCTATTCGAGCTGAGTACCTTTTGGCATATCCTGCAGGTGTAGCCCTTTTCGGTGTCCTGCACTTCGTTTTCGTTATTGTGCGACCGGATGTGTAGAGTGAATTCGTGTTGGGATGTTAGGATTCGGTCGCAGATCGGACAGACGTACTTCCTTTCGGGCGAGGAGCAGTCGCTCCTGTTGTCGGAATCGGAGTTTTTGGAGAGGTCGGTTTGGTCAATGGTGGTGTTGGTGGTTGACGAGAAAATACCCGAATCGCTGCGATTGGCTAAGGCCTCTTTGGTCATTTGGTTGGGCGAGGGCGATGCCTCCATTTCGGTAACTGGAATGCAGAAAGGGAAATATTAAGTCGCAATACGAAAAATAAACGATGGATACAATGTATTCGGGAGTTAAGTAAAATATCCCTCAAGAGTTTTAAATTTTTATCATATAAATTCGTTTATAAACTGCCGAGTACACTGTGCTTTGCACACAGTACAAGTTTGGTCTATTGAATAAACCAATACATCTACCTACATTTATTATTAATTCGGTGTTGATAATTTACAAAATATCAGTGTTGTTACAGGTAGTTTTTTGTTTTTCATTTTAAGAAAAAAAGTTATCTTTGTTGAAAAATTCCGTTTGTGTTTAAATGTACAAAAATGTAGTTTCAAGTGGACCAGCATATATGGTGTCTTACAAATAAATGATTTAAAATATAGTAGATACCTACTTGATTTTACCGTTAATTACATCAGCTAAGCAGTATATAAATAACCAATCTTTTTCAACATTTACTATGTTTGATACGAGGTGTCTCCGGATAGTTTTAATCGCATCAACCAAAAAACAAAATCAGTGTGAGCGAGATATAACCTACATACTTAAATAGACATCTAAAGAGCTAAATCGTTCGTTGTCCTCCCCACTAATGGCATACCTACTCGTGAGAACTAAAAAGTTCGAAATTTTGCTATTATGGAAAATTGAAAAGACCGGTAATTTTTTATTTTTTTTTCAATCAAACTTGAAGTAGGCAGAAAGAAATATAAGCAACTCGAAGCAGAATTCGAACTTTTCAGACTTCTTTCCTCGTCCAATTTTCTCTAAAATGGTTTTTATTGTATCTTAAAAGATTGTAACACCTACCAACCAACAGAAATAATACGCAACATAATAATAATAGTAATAACTTAATAGTAGATTTAACTAGATTTTAAGAAACAGTTCTTCCGACATTTACTTGACGTAAAACATTTGTTTGATGACAACCACGTACGCCTGCTTTGTTTTATATTCTATTTGTTCTCTATCTCGTGTGAAAAATCGGAACCCAATTAAATTATCTGAAAGACAACAGATCGGAGCAGTGATCAAACATTTGTAAGCGATACTGGAATTGGGCTGGCCAAAGATAAATAATAAGCGGAAGAAGAATGCCCGATGATTAACACTGCAAACAGGCGCAACCCTTACAGGGTGTCCCGAAAAATGGAGTAAATGGGTTAGAAATTTTATTACGTCTCGGATTTTTTCCACGGCATTGTTTAACATAAGCTCATGTTGATACAGTTTTACGGATGTTCATGTAATTAATGTTTTTAAAAACAGAATGATTTCGGTTTCAATCAATTAAATTTCTCTACAGAAAAGATGGGTTCTACCATTTTATTAATTAAAATGAAAAAATATCTAAATAAACGCAATCCTTTGAAGTTAAAATTAATAGGTATACGCTGACGAGATGATTCTTTGGATTTTAAGAGTAGACTTGAGACACCCTATACACTTTGGCGTTCTCATTTCTCGCCTGTACGTTTCAGATAAACCTCTACGCCAAAGTATGCGTACCCAAGGTGAAATCATCATTGATAAATGAAAAATTTCTTCGTCGCACTCCCCGCGTGTTTATTGGTAACCACGACGTATTCGTTTACTTGACCCGGTTTGTGCGGTTATTGTTTTTAGAGGTCTTACGCAAATCTGTATGGAAATTCGTGGTCACGTGTCCGTTGGAATTCCGTTTGGAAAAATATGGAATGAGACGTCGTCACGGTAATTTCGTGTAGGGGGGTGGCGTTCTCTCTTACCAGCGAGGCGTTCTGAGAACTCGATTAGTGTATTTTAAAACCTGCCCACACCAATTCTTGGTACTGCCGATTTCTGGCTACGCTACTACGAGGGATCGTCCAATTTCATCTTCACACCTGCTACTATTTATAATATTTCATAATTTAATATAATGTTACTGATGCAAAACTCAATGTTAAGCTTTAAAACCTTTTTGGAGGCAGTGAATTTCGAAAGTATGTTGAAAAGTATATATCTAACTTTGGAATAAGTACTATGGGTATCGTGGAACTAGTGCCATCTAGGGATATACTGTTTAAAAGTAATGTCTATAAGAGTCTACGAGTAGAATAACTGTCTAGATAAAAGAGCACTGACATTTTTTAAAACGAGAAATCAAAGGGTCTATTTATATCCTCGATGTCCTCCTGGCCTTCCTGAAAACATTTGTACCATTGATAAACTCGTGGCTGTGTGACATAGTATCGACGCTAAAGGCCTTCTTTAATAGGTATGTTACAGAGTGATACCAATACGGAAAAAAAGAGTCAACTCGATGGACAAGCTACAACACGCGCAATTTGAAAATTCCCCTTACTTTTTTATCAAACCTCTTAAAAATACCATTTACAAAGCAGTAGCTCTAGTAACAGTTAGATGGCGTTGGTACTGCTACTGCTACTGCATTTCAAAGTTTTAATACATTTAAAAACTCTTGTCACTTCCTAAGAATTGAAAGTAACAGTTTCTTTAACAGTTTAACAAGTACTAACTGTTATTGATAGTGAGATGGTTATTGAATATTAAGTTTTTTAAAACATTTTTTTGTGAAAATTTCGGAAATTCAATTCAAGAGGAAATTTCGTAGGCGCAATTCTAGCTAATAAGTTCACTTTATAAGGCAAAAATAAACATATTTTTATGATTTCAATTCAATAATAAAATATATTTATCGTTGTCTTTCACAATCTTGTAAAAGTAGTAATGGCAATGAAAATTTAAGTATCTCTACAAAACCTATACTTTCGACGAAAATTACGTCGTACATCAAGAGGGCGGTCTACCAAGCACTTAATTTTATTTAATCTATTTCTGTCGTCGAATATATAAAGTACTAACGCAAAATCAAAATATATTATACTTAAAAAGACGCGATGTAAAAGCGGTACTCATTTTACTGTTTTCTGTAACTGAATGCTCAGGCGCCATCTTTGATCCAGACGCCAAAGTTTAATATTCGATGGTGCCGTAATAATAAATTTCCCTAGAAATGACTGAACAGACATCTCGACGCAATGTTAGAAATTAACTTTACGTTTAGTTTTTAGACTTGATACGATTTCAAACAGCAATATTTTCCGAATTTGTTTCTGATTTATTTAACTTAGGTAATGACATATTTTCATAACTATATTTCACAACAAATTTGACAATGTTTATCGGATATAAACACTTATATTTTATTTTCTAGGGCATTAATTGATTTCAAATTTGTTCATTATCTATTCCAATATTTTATCTAACAACACAAACTAGTTTTATTGCCCAAACAGTTATACTGACGACGAAAAAAGAACAGGTCGTGATCAGATGAAATTGGGACATCTCGTATACACCGAAATTTCAATTTGACGTTTATATTGACGATTCCGTCGTCGCGGGGGTATTTACCGGAGTTCTAAACAGATTTTACCTTCAATTGTTTTTCGTTCATGGCCTACTAAGCAGCCGTTAAACACAATTACACGCGATAGCTATATAAATTAAAGGTTCAGACATCTGCCGTATCACGTACCTCATAAAAATCGCATCCACGTCCTCTCGCGAAAAGAACTAGGTTTGGGAACAGTAAATCGCAGCTTCGGGGAACTTTTTGTTTGCGCGAATTCGATCTCGTAAGATTTCCCAGTGGGGCAAGAAAAATGAAGTACATTTGATGCCTCGATCAGTAGAAATAACTAGGAGAAGAATAGTAGTCATTTTTAATCAAGTGGGTAGGATATTATCAATAAATAAATGAAAATAGATCAAACTATACTATTAAATGTACTTTGAAATTTTAAATATTTTGACATATAAGGTACTTTTATCAAATAAGTCTACGTCCCTAACAACCACAGCCTTTGCCGTTTTGAAGCGAAACTTAAAGTAACAGAAATTTGCACAGCATTTTTAAACCTAAAATTCTTATAGAAATTGTATTTGTCAAAAACAGAGAGCTCAGGTTACTACAAAAGTGCGTCAGTATATTTTATTGCACGATAAACGTGATTTTCCAATTTTTTACTAAAGGGTTTGTCTTTGGAAAGTGTTTATAGCACGTACCTATTTCGTAAAAACCGCCATTCTGAATCTAATTTTAAAATAAGCTACACTTACCTACTATATCCTTTTCCGAGCCTGTTTTTGAGATTGTAATTTTTTTGTTACCAAAACTTTTTTGCTATATTTAAAGACAGAAACACATTGTTGACACAATAATGATGCATTTCTCATCATAAATGCATTTTTCTTTATACTGATTTGACCAGTTTCATGGCCTATTTGACAATTTTCTTTTAGCATTCAAATTAATATTTACTAGCATTTTGCGTATTTTCCCCGTATTTTTTCACGAAAATCAATCATGTATCATTGGATTTAGAAAAAAAAATACAAAATTAAATTAAGAAAATGTATTGTTCAATTAAAATAATAATAATAATAATAATCGCATGTCATAAAGGTAGGCGTTTAAAAAAAATAGAATAGAAAAGAGAATAAGTGCTAGATTGTAAATAGTATTTTTAAAACCGTTGACAACGATCCTGTAATCAGAGAAAAAATAGCGGAGATATAACTTGCGACATTTTTACATGGTGAATTTAACCAATTTTTTATTTTTTGTTTAGTTTTATGTATGTATTGAGTTTAATTTTATTATAACTTCTTGTAACCTATGGTCTTTTAAAAATTGAGGTGCGAAACTCGATTGACACAAATATTTTTTGCAAATAGCATACTTTTTTAATACCTACTAACTTACCACTATGATAAGAGCAAACATTTTTGGAACCGCTGATGTTATCGATAGCTCGATTGGCTGCGTTGACAGAAATCTCTATATATCAGATGTACGACTGACTCACGGTTTTCATCAGCGGTTCCATAGGTTGGTGTTAATACTGTTAATATGCCCATTAATTCATTGTTACCATATTAATGGGCTATTTTACTATTTTATTCGCACTTATTAACACATACACACGCCCCAGACAGTCTTTCGCAAAAATAAAACAGTTAAAAAATAAGAATACCAGACAAATTAATGATTTAATTTAAACATTTGCTTATTAATAACCGCGCATAAAACTTAAACAATAAAAGATACATGATACGGCAATGAAAACTGATATAGAACTGATGATAACTTAAAACTGAACTAACAATTCTTCTGTTTACTATAAAAAAACGGGTCAAAAAACATAAGACGCGCTGTCTGCGATTAACGCGATTCAGCTCTTTTTATGCGGGAGAGGATTCCAGAGGTTCTCAATAAGTTTGATTAATTTCTATTATTATACTATTTAAGCACCGTTCTGCAGTTTCAAAATCCACGAAATTCTATACGGTAGGCTAGCCGGGAATTGAATTTGGATAAATCAGCCGTTCAACGAATTTTAAAGACCAACGGGTATCATGACTACAAAATTCACAATTTGGAGTATTTGCCTGAGCGTCACATTGAAAACAGACTTAATTTTATAGCTCAAATTGTAGTAAATGTAGAAACTGTTGATCAGAACCTTTTTCGGCACGTTCTTTGGACGAACGAAAGTCGGTTTGTCAGTAATGGTTTGCCAAACAGGCGGAGCGAACACTACTGGACTGGTCCATTGAAAATCCCCACATTGTAAATCCAGTCCAAAACCAAGGCCATTTTGGAGTAAACGTATATGGTGCGGCATCATCGGTAGGCATTTAATTGGGCCTTATTTTTATGAACATACATTGAACAGCGTGAGTTACCTAAACCTATAAGAAGAACTTCCTGCACTTTTGGAGAATGTGCCTTTGCCGCTAAGGAGAAACCTGTGGTTTCAGCACGACGGGGCTCCACCCCACAAGGTCAGGATTGTGCAGCAATATTTAGAAAACAATTTCCTAGACAAATGGATGGGGCTTAATGGACCTATTCAGTGGCCCGCACTCTGTACAAAACATGGCTATGAAGTCATATGCAGGTTCTGTGTAACTCAAAATATCCTTTTTCTAATGTGAGATCCACTTTGACCAAATTTCAAAGACTGTAAGGCAGAAAAGTGACGATCTGGATCTTTTTTGGGTCGTCAACCCAGTTAAGAGCGAGGTTTTGAGTGTGATTCCTGACGACACTCGACTTATACGAGACGAATTGAAATTATCCGAGATAAACGGGCGGATGCGATCTGTTGTTGGGAAAGGAACTGCAAGCGGAAAAACGCCGATTAGAATGGACCACAGAGATATAGCCGGAGTCCGTAACCGCACCCAGGTTTCGTTTCCTCTAGAGAAACCGTCGGCGGAGTGTTAACCTTTGCACAACAAACACAAATCCAAGTTATTTTTCTCAATATATTTGTGTACTACAGATATCTGAATGGAGTTGCGGTCAGATATCGTAGTTTTCAACAAAAATAAATATACTGATCTGCGACGATGTTTTCTAGGAACGTAATTTATTATTATAATTTTTTCCAACAGCTCCTATTTATACTTGTCCTTAATCACTGGTATTTCGCCGTCTCCGAGGAAAAATTAATCACTATATTAAGAAAAGTTAACTTATTTTTGTTATTAATAGAAATTAATATACAGGGTGATCCACAAACGCTGGCCACAAATGAAACCTCGTATTCTTTGGTCAACTTAAGGCGGAGTCATTCGTATAAAGTTTTTATCTAAGATGCTTCGTTAAAAAGACTAAACTTAAAAAAATATTTTTAGTAAGTAAAAAAATTATTTCCTAAGGCCTTTTCCTAAAATTCAGATGCTCCAATGGTGGAAATACAGAGTATCGGTGATATATTTTTCTAAATAACATAGTACGCCACTGTTTTACGGTAACAATCATGATATTTTCGGATTCGTCTTTAAATTTTCTACAAATTACTGATCTCTTATATGTTTCGAAAAACGCCTGATTTTCGAGTAAAACTTAAAAAACGAACTGAAAACACCGGATTTGAACCCACTGGATTTCTTCTTGTGAGGCGTTGTTAAACGGCTGGCATACAGTGATCAAATTAATACACTTGAACGGTTAGAAGAAAGAATAAATAATGCTTGCCATCAGATTTAAGCAACAATAAATTTCGAACAAATTACATTTTCGTTACTAATGTCGAGCCTGTATTTTTGAGCATTTACTCAAATAAAATCATTAAAATGATTAGTGTTTGTCATGTCATTTAAGTTAAATTGTTTTCAGTTCGTTTTTTTAAATTTTACTCGAAAATCAGGCTTTTTTCGAAAAACATAAGCGGGTAGTAATTTGTAGAAAATTGAAAGACAAATCCAAAAATATCATGATTTTTACCGTAAAGCAACAGGTTTTAAACTAATGTGTTTCTAATACTTATTTACTGATTTCAAAAATGGTCTGCGTTTTTTTTCAATTTTTTTTTTTTCATAATATTGGCCTTAAAACTTTAGTAGGTACCTTCAGTAGGTATTTCATTTTGTGATTTTCGAGACTATAGTGGAAAAAATGTGTAATTTTTTTTTTGATAATCACATTTCTGATCATCCTATGCCCTAGGAATGCTAATTTTAGTTAAAAAATGCTGTACACAGTGTCTTTACTGAAAGTGTATGTATGACACAGTTATCCCCTGAATTTTGACTATTTTGTCATAACTGTCTAAAACTACATATACAGGGTGTCTCATAATTAGCTGCCAACCCTGAACAGGCCGATTCTATGATCAAAACTAAGTAAAAAAGTTCATATGAACATGGATCCGGAAATGCTTCCTAAGGGCACAGGGACCCATTGAAGAGGGAGGAATGGAAATCATTTTTTTGCAATCTCTCAATCGCGTTGTGATAAATGAATGAAATTTGGTATACACAGCTAAATGTTGATGAGCAATTTGATGGACTAATCCATTTATTTCCACAAGGTCCATTGGGGTGGGTACGAGGGGGCCCTTGGTACTTTGCGTGTGTAACTTTTTCATCTTTGACTTTTTAACAAATTGGACAGCAAATTCCGTTTTCCCGAACTGTTTTACGTTAAAAAGGTACTCTTGTTTCAAATCGTTATCTTTAACGGTTTCTGAGAAAATCGCTCTTGAATTAATCCCACTTTGGTCAATTTCATAGTAATTTAAACAAAAAATAATAATAATAATTTTCCTTTCCTCTCTTTTCCATTTAAAGGATTAATTTTTATTTAATTTAATTTTTTATTATTATTTTTTTATTAAAATTAGATTAAATTTAAACAAAAAAATTTTTTTTGTTTAAATTACTATGAAATTGACCAAAGTGGGATTAATTCAAGAGCGATTTTCTCAGAAACCGTTAAAGATAACGATTTGAAACAAGAGTACCTTTTTAACGTAAAACAGTTCGGGAAAACGGAATTTGCTGTCCAATTTGTTAAAAAGTCAAAGATGAAAAAGTTACACACGCAAAGTACCAAGGGCCCCCCCGTACCCACCCCAATGGACCTTGTGGAAATAAATGGATTAGTCCATCAAATTGATCATCAAAATTTAGCTGTGTATACCAAATTTCATTCATTTATCACAACGCGATTGAGAGATATTGCAAAAAAATGATTTCCATTCCTCCCTCTTCAATGGGTCCCTATGCCCTTAGGAAGCATTTCCGGACCCATGTTCATATGAACTTTTTTACTTAGTTTTGATCATAGAATCGGCCTGTTTAGGGTTGGCAGCTAATTATGAGACACCCTGTAGACACTACACTACCGATTTAAATTGATTAACAACTACTAAAAGAAGTTTTTCTAATTGCTGAAACTGATATACTCACCTATGGGGCCGCTTGGGGGCGGAAAGCCTTGTTGGGGGTTGTGAGGCATAAAAACGGCCCCTTGCATATCGAAACTATGGCAATCTGGAACAAACAGCCGTGCGATTAAAACATTGCTAGGATAAGGTGCATGAAACATCAAAATGAGTGTAACTGACCACTGAATAAAGTAGCGGACTCAGACCACTAGATTAATAAATATGTAAATAAGAAATGTGCATTCTACAGCATAAATTTTAAAATACAGCTTATTTTAGCGACATTTAATAATTATACCTTTTTTTAAAGCAAATCGAGTGCCGTTTCCAAAAGTATGAATATTCCGGAAAATATCCATCGAAAAAAATATGGTAACCAAAGGAACGTGTAATTTCGTTAGTAGCGCCATCCATGTTCTACGCAAAAAATAACTACAAATTAATGTTTGGTAACCCCAGAAACTCTCCTATAATAAATTTCATTGAAATATATTAAAAATTGACGGAGTTATCCGGAAAAGAATAAAATAAAAAAATCTTCAGCAAGACCCGCAGCTTCTCAATGAAGTAAAATAGTATTAAGGTAATTTGATTTTTTTCCCATACTACCCTTGTATGTCACATTCTTTAGTAGACTCTCTGTATATGCAATCTTTCATGATTTAAATAATTTTTACGGTTCTTGTAATACACGTAATGAATATCTTATAGCTATTTTAAATATTGGGATAGGTATCTAGGCTATCGTAACCGTATGTCTAGTTTTAATTCAATTATCTGTTTTTTACTTTTATCATGGTTGTTCATTTTGTTTTGTATTTTAAGTGTTTTTATTATATTATACTTTAATTGCATTGTTATTGTGATATTACAGTTATATTCTATTATTAATCATTATTTCCTGCAACTGGGTCTAATTTGTTGGAAATAAATCTTATTATTAACTTCAATTGATGATTTTTTAGAGGAAAATTTGTTTTAATTACCTTTAAAATGGGGTAAATAATACGGGAAATAATAGAGAATATATGTTTTTTTTAACAAATTTTGTAAAAAGGGCATTTTTTTAAATTTTTTTTTAAATTTACTTATATTCAGCATTTTTGACACTATTGTCAAACATATTTTTTTTAATATTTTAAATCATCGCTATTAATTACATACAAAATGTAATAATTGTCGTTTTGATAAAAAATGTTTAAAAAATATTAACTTAAAAAAAGTTGTATGTAAATGTAATTTCTTTATTCAAATATATATTATTACAATTTTAGGTTCACTCAGTGTATGAAATAAAATAAGTATAGGATCATAAGAAATTAATATTTCATATTTTTATAGTGATGGAAACTCCGGTTTCCCGGAGAAAATTCTACAATTTGTAGTTTATTTTGTTGGAGGGGAAAAATCCAATAGTCCACTGAATGAATACAGGGTGGTCCAGATTTCAATAGGCAAACTTCGGGAAAGTACTAAACAGCAAAAATTAACATCAGTTTGCTCTATGAACATAGGTGCAGAAAGCCACCGTTTATGAGATACAGGGCGTTGAAATTAACAAAAATAAAACAATTTTTTTTAATTTCTGGAAAACCGCTTCTTCAAATTTATCCAAATTTGGTACACACTGTTTTTCAAATATTTCTCCTAGTTCTGTATGTAGACAGTCCAAAATCAAAAATCAGTGGCGGAGAAACAAGGATATCGTTTCCTTATTTAAAGTAAAACTTCTACGCCACTGAATTAATTGGTAATATGAATACATTTTATAACGGTCTGAAATNCACTGTTTTTCAAATATTTCTCCTAGTTCTGTATGTAGACAGTCCAAAATCAAAAATCAGTGGCGGAGAAACAAGGATATCGTTTCCTTATTTAAAGTAAAACTTCTACGCCACTGAATTAATTGGTAATATGAATACATTTTATAACTGTCTGAAACATTCCTAATGAAAAAACAGTCTTTTATTTTTGTCGAAAAGTGAATGGTTTACGAGTTATGAAACAAATTATCCAATTAAACAAAACGTTGAAATAGGGAAAAATAAAACGAATTTGGGTGGTCCAGAGTTTAAGACAAACTTTGGAAGACTACTAAACAACAGAAATTAATATCACCTTAGTCTATCCACATAGCCGCAGAAAGCCACCGTTTATGAGATACAGGGCGTTGAAATGATCAAAAATGAAACATTTTTTTTAAATAACTGGAAAACCGCTTCATCCAAATTTGATACACATTTTTCACTATCATAGCAAACAGATCGAGCTCAACTTTCAAGTAACACGAACAACAAGTAAAGTTATATGAAAAACAAATAAATTAATGAATTGCTTGAAGTGTGCATCTCCAAACCCAATGCACTTTCAGCATCTTTTGTTATAGAATTCACAGCAGCTCTGATTAAAACTGGATTTTACTTCAAATTAGTGCAGGCCCCATTTAGCTTTTGCACTAGCTGGTCCCTATTTGCTATAGGAACGGCATAAACGTTATTTTTCTAGGTTACCCTAAAATAATCCAAAATATTTAGATCAGGTGATCTAGGTGGCCAAGGCATGGGGCCATTCCGACCAATCCCTCTGTTTTGGTGGTTGTTTGTCAGCCATTCACGAACTACCTGTCCAGAATGTGCTGGTTCTCCGTCCATTTGAAACCATTTCCCGATTCGTTGATGCGAAGGTATGTCCTCCATTAACTGGAAGACGCTATTGTCCAAAAAATTCAAAATCAGAATTTAGTCTAGGTGGCAAGATGTTTACTTGGATAATATGTTTCATAACTCGTAAACCATTCACTTTTCGACAAATATAAAACAATGTTTTTTCATCTGGAATGTTTCAGACCGTTAGAAAATGTATTCATTCAATTAATTCAATGGCGTAGAAGTTTTACTTTAAATAGGGAAACAATATCCTTATTTCTCCGCCACTGGTTTTTGAATTTGGACTGTATGCATACAGAACTAGGAGAAATATTTGAAAAAAAATGTGTACTAAATTTGAATAAATTTGATGAAGTGGTTTTCCAGGTATTTAAAAAAAATTGTTTTATTTTTGAGCAGTGATGTTAATTTTTGCTGTTTAGTACTTTCTCGAAGTTTGTCTATTAAAATCTGGACCACCCTGTATAGACGTATCATTTTTGATAGTTGAGGCATGTGGGTAGTTGTTTTCCTCAATATGGTATCGAAGAACAATGTTTGACTTTATTTGACATTTTTTTTAAATTTGTTTAAATTGGTTTAATGCCTTATGACCATCTATTTTTACTACTAATTACTCGTATGTTTCCAGAACCCTAAGGAATTAAAAAGTTCCGGCGCCCATGGGTCTAAGTCCAGATCAGACAGAAACTGTTCTCTGCATTCTGGAGCTCCGTCCAACGGTTTTCGGTTTTCACCCGTATATTAATAGGCGGCGGATGTGTGTGTCCGTTTTTTTTTCTCTCCACCACGAGTATATTGTGTAAATCGTAATTGTACCGTATCGCGGGGATAAAAAAGGGGTCCAGCACGAGCCGGGGCAGGTGTTTTGCCGTGGAGACGGGACAGGTGCGACGAACATATGCCCTATCTGACAGATATTTCATTCAAATCGACTTTGGTGCCCGCTTGCACTTTGTATTTATCATTATGTACACGGTGCCACCAAAAAAACCACCGATCGATGGGCGGCGTTAGCGTTAACGCGGCGATAGGTATCGCTTGCGACTCGTTTAATCGAGCCGAAAAGGTGTCCTGGAAAAGACAAAGCCGCAGCGCTCTTTTGAGTGACGTCACGGCAATATGTTGAGGCGCAACAACGGATATGAACTTGCACAGCGACGAACATGTATATTTGTCCATCCAGAATTGAAAAGTAAACTGCTATATAATGGCTGTTATAACTCCTACCTCATGGAAGTTGTATTGTAAATTTAGAATGCTGGTCTCTCGTCGTCACTTTTAACATTTCTCAGCTTTTAATAAAATAATTTGTGGAACATTACAACTTCGCGTCCGTAAAAGTTCAGACTGTTTCTGGGGTACAACGGGGCTCTGTCCTTAGCCCTCTGTTATTTTCTTTATTCATCAATGTATATTCAATTCTTATATTAGCGGGACATCCCCATTTGATGCAGTTTTGAAAATTTTAATATTCCGAATGTGCAGAAGGAAACAAATTGCTAATTTTCATAGTAATAAGACAATTATAAACGAATATCATACATAAAAGTGTGGTACATTACACACTTATCTAAGTGTGCCTATTCTACATGTATATTCCTTTGTTTCATGGCACAACTCAAGGTCGTGGTTGAAATGAAGTTTTCCGAGACGTTAAATTTATAATTCAATCTGATAACTGAAAAAACGAGGTTCAGCAGAAAGAAAGTATCTATGTGATACTTTAAACAAAATCAAATCGTGCTGTGCTACAACTATCAATTGTTTTCAACTGGCATTTTTGACAGTTGACGGAATTATTCGAACTAAAATAATGGTTAACATTTTAGTTATCTGTATGCATTGAATTATGGAACAAAATAATAATACAACGCATACTACAACTTTTATAGAACAGATATTCTGGTGTATTTGTTTTTTCCATAGATGAGTTGATACTGGAAACTATTTATCGCGTATCACCCAGTATAATAACATTGAACTTGCTCTCATCTACTACTATTTGCACAGCATTAATAAACAATAATCAATTTGTTTCCTAGTTTGATAACTGAATCGAAGCAGATTAGATATTGCAATTTTTTTTAGATAAATCTGCTGCATAATCTAAAGTACCGTTCAGAATTTTTATTTGTGTTTGTTATTAAGAGCTATAATTGGAATTGCAAAAGTAATAAACAAATATCTGAATCTAGAACTCTACCTGCAGAGATGAATTCAGTTATTTATTTTTATATGTATACCTTCAGAGAAGGCATAAATGCGTTTATGTTCTGGGAAATTCAGTTGCTATGAGGTCTGACTGGAATAAAAACGATAAGGAAAACTATTATTTAATGTATCTTCGACCAGGTAATGATCTCTGGGAAAAACGAGGTGATGATAAGTCGGCACAAGTGCACCGAGTTTGTGTGTGACAAAACTTTAAATTTATTTG